CACAGGAAGATATTAAACACAATAACTAATAATGAAATAGAACAATTATAACAATATACTGTAATCAAATTTTTGTGAGTGTGGTGTCTGTATGATAACTGAGACGGCTACTAAGTGACTAGCAGGAAGTGCATACCGTGTGGAGATGCTGGACGAAGGGATGATTCTGGTCCCGGGCAGGATGGAGTGGGAGGCGAGAGATTTCATCACACTACTCAGAACAATGAACTATTTAACTTATAAATTATTTGTTTCTGGGATTTTCCATTTAATATTTTCTGGCCACGATTGACCATGAGTAATTGAAACCACTGAAAGCAAAACCTTGGATGGGGGGATTTCTGTAGTTTCTACTACAGCTGAACATGCATATTCTCTGTGGCCCAGCAAGTCCCACTTCTAGGAATTAGGTATAGTAGGTGCCTGCCCAACAGGTACGTGTCCGTGTGTTCACCAAAAGATGTGCACTGGAAGGGCCTGGCAGCACTGCTCGTTAAACCCTGAAACCACCAGATGCCCATCAACAGCAGCATGGATAAATAAATCACGGTGTGTTCATACAGTGGAATACTGTGTGCATTCTTAGGGAGAAATGTTTCTTACTCCTTGCATTTCCATAGAAGAGGGGTAATTTCCCAGAAAGAAAAAGTATACGAGAAACTCTTTGAATTTTTCTCCCAAGGAGAAAATATAAAATTGGTGAGCAGACGAAGGCATAGCGCGTAGGCCCTGTGCAGCCAGCCGGGCCTCTGGAAGCCGCCTTCTCCGCCCTCCCCATGGAAAGCCTGGAGCCGTGGACTTCGCCCTGTCTCTGCCCACCTGCGCCAGTGCCCAGGGGAGTCTCAACCTCTGGGGTCCCGTTTTAGGACAGACTTCACTACTACGGCATTTCTTCCTAGCCAGCTCTTCTCGGGAATGAAGCTCGCATTTGTATATTTACCTAACAACTGTGTGATTACCGTTCAGTTGGTTCCAAACTGAGGAGGAAAAGAGGAGGGTGACTTATCAATCTCCGAAAGAATCGAGAAAAAGTAGGAAAGGAGCTGTTCTCTGTAACAATAGCCCAGAAATGAGTCTAACTTAGAAAAATCATTTTTAACAATAGAAGTCGGGATAATTTCAAGGAATTTGTTTTTCAGATGGGGGCAAAAAGGAACTGAAATGGGGTGGGGGTTAGACAACACTAGCTGTGGCCCCTCTTCCTAACCAATTTTAAATTACTTTCATGTTTGCCTTTTATATATTAACATTTGAGATTTTAATAGAGCAAAAGAGTTCCCTATTTAAAAATCATGTGAAAATCTGATTTAGATAATCCTTTAGGTACCCCGTAGCCTAGGGGATAGTTGAGCTTATTAACAAATCCAAAATTGCATTTCTTGCAATTTTTGCCAATGATAATGGTCTACAATAATAGATAGATACTGGGACTTGGAGAGAAGCCTGGTGGTGGGCTTCTAAATTAAAGCTCTTTCAGGAAGCAAAGAAGAGATGCATCCAAGTTATCTTAGCTGGTGAGACAGTGATGCTCAACCTTTCTGTCTTGGGAGAGTGATTGGCTCACCTGAAGGGAGGAAATAGGATCACCAATACCCCTTGCTAGGCCAGGGATAGAGCTGAGGGTGCTCCAGGTGAGAGAAGCAGAAAGAGCACTTTGCATTTAAGAAATCAAGAGAAAACAGTTGGGAGGTTATTACAGTACTTCAGGGGGTGTATTACTTTCCTAGGGCTGCTTAATAAATCACCACAAACTTGATGGCATAAAACAATAGAAATTTATTCTCTCAGTTCTGGGGGCCAGAAGTCCAAAACCAAGGTGTCAGCCAGACCACCCCTCCCCCAAAGGCTCTAGAGGCGTCTGTCCCTTGCCTCTTCCAGCTTCTGTTGGCATCAGTCATTCTTTGGCTTCCTTGTGTGTGGCCACATTGCTCCAATCTCAGCTTCTGTCTTCACAACGCCCCCTCCGTGTGTCTGTCTGCCCCTCTTCTCTCCGTCAAATATCCCGTGTGCCTCTTACGGGACACTTGTCATTGAATTCAGAGCACACTCAGATGATCCAGAATGATCTCGTCTCAAGATCCATAACTTAATTACATCTGCAAAGACCCCCCCCCCCACCTTGTCCCCCCCAAAAAAGTTCACATTCATAGGCTCTGGGAACTAGTACATGGACATATTTGGGGGGGGCCACTATTCAACCCACTACAGGGAGATCAGAATTTGGAGGATTACTTAATAATCAACCATTTGAAATAATGTTTGAAATAATAAACATGATGAAATAAACTTGTGTTTTTTTGTTTTTTTTTAGCAGAACTGCCCTGCTTCCTTGATCCAGTCTTGCTTTGTTTTTGGTGAATGCCTTTGAAAAGCCTTTCTAAGGTGGGTGGGTAGGTCAGATTAACTGCAAGGCTTTTATTTTGCTGAGTGTAGCATTTTAGAGCCAGAGTTAAATTGACCAAGACATTAGAGGGATCTGGAAAAGCCATATGGGGAAAGGAGGAAGAGAAAGGCAGGGAGCCAGGTGATAGCTGGAGAATCTAGGTTATGAAATGGATTCATTCCTTCAATGACTATCTCAAGAAGCCTATGCCAGCCCAGCTGTGTGCTAGGTACTGGGGACCTGATGGTGAGCAGGCACACGGCCCCTGCTCTCAGGAGGTGTGGGGAGTCTCTTTCCCTGTGATGTTCAGTGTCAACCTCTCCGCCCTCTCCCCACAGAATCTCCGGCAAAACCTACGCTGCTTCCCCATGCTCTGCAGATGAGCTTGAGGGAGGAGAGGGGAGGAAATGCTATCTTGTTTCTGGGCTGGAATGAGGCAAAGCCAGAGGCTCCTCCAGGAAGGCACGCGTGTGGTTAACGTGCTAGTGGGCCAGCTGGGGTGTTGCAGGAGTCCAGCATCTGCTTCTTAGGAAGCAGGAGCACTTCGATTTGTTTTGGGAAATTACCTCTCCCCCATTACCATCAGTATTAATGGGACTGTCAGTCAAATGCTTTTCCCTGAATTCCTAGCCAAGGAGAAGCACAAAGTCCAAGCTAGGCCAATAGGACTCGGGAGCTGAATCCTGACGGGAAAGATGGAAGCACAAACTCAAGGTGGCGCTGATTTAGCCCAGCAGATGGGGCTACGTCAGTCCCTGCTGCCCGAACCCATGGGATCCTTTCCATGTCAGGTTTCTCAATAGACCCTTGGAATCTGAGATGTTCTGTGTCCTTCCAATAAAGTCCCATTGGTTGAAGTTAACCAGAATCCTTTTGGGGTACCAGCAATCAAAGAACCCTAACTGATGGAAGGGATCGGGAAAGTTCAAACCCTTCCCCTCCAGGTGACGAGGGCCTGCCGTGGGGACAGTCGCATCTTACATCCTCACAGCCAGGTTTACTGCTTTTCTTTCAGGACAGTTTCCATCAAAATCCAGTGTCCCTTAAGCTAGCCGTGACTGCCCTTAATTAACAGGGACACTGGCCATGTCAGCAGCAGCCCTCAGGAAAAGGCCAGCACACTGGCAGGGACAAGAGAGGAATCAAATTCATCTGGGTCAGCTTAAGGCTTCAAGTGACACACCGAGCTTAGTGGACAGTTCCTAAGTGATCCTTAAGCCTTGCACCTAAATTCAATTCCGCACTCCCTGTGGGTCACTCGGGCTTGGATGACAGTGGCTTGGCAGGGGTTCCTCGTTTCTCAGTGCATGTGCATTTGTACAGGCCACAGGCGACTTGCTCAGGGGAGAAAAGCTAAATTCATACCTTCCACTACCCTTCCCAGTTGTACCTTCGGTCTACACTGCGTCTCCTTCGCCCAAACTCCCCAAGTATTTGCACCCACGCGCAGATAATTACACATTGTAGACGCTGCTTAGCTGCTTTTTAAAAAGTATGTTTTGAATCCATTCTTGCTAATATTTCCAACCTCTTCTAGTCCTTCAAGAGACTATGATTCCCATGTATGAACAACAATCCTTTGAGGGTCCTAGGAGACCAGGCTCCTTCCCTCAACAGGCTAAATTCCTCCCCAACCCATTAACCCCAGTCCACATTTCAGCTGGGTGCAACAAATAAACAAGCACCTGCACGTGGCTGGCACTGTGCTACGTGCTGGGACTACAACCATGGTAAGATGTCATCACTGTCCCCATGATGCTAACAGACCACAGGAGAGACATTAGACAAATGCCCACAGGTGTGCTGAGCACCATAAAGCAGAGATCAGGGTGCCAGTGGACCATATGGGAGACATCCTACCTCGCCCTCAGATCTATAAGGCCTCCCCTTGGTGCAGTGTGTAAGCTGGCAGGGACCTGAAGGATGGGAACAGAGAGAGCAACAGCAATCGAATTCTTTCACTAGGGCCTTCTGCAAAGCTGTCCCGAATTCAGGAAGAGATCATGTTCTAAAAGTCCATTTCCAAATTCATGGGGTTAGCATTTTTAATGTATTTCTCCACAGAAGCACACACGTAGTGGCTAGGCGTTCCAGCTGGTCCAGCAGCACCCAATTATTTGTAAAGTGCTGCACCAACAATACCTATAAATAGCATTATTTCAGCCAGTTTTGTTTCTATGGGAAACTTAGGCGTCCTGATGTCCAATGGAAACCCCTTTGCATAATCCCCCCTCTTCCTCATTAAGTCCCGGCAATTCTCTCATGGAGGTCTCTTCCATCCCGCCCCTGGCCTTGGTTCAGATCAACCTTATACCTGCACCTAACATTACGCCTGGCACCACAGCACCCACTGAAAACCCAGTCCCCTGGTCTGCAGTTCCTCCTCTCTGCAGCCGTCTCCCGCAGTGTCCGGAACCATCCTGCTTCATTAAATTAGAACCCAGGAATGAATCCTACAGACATGCTCCCACACGTGAACAGAAGTATTGCTATGTCACTATAATAGCAACAAACACTGAATACTCCTGAATGCCCAAGAGGTGACTGGTTCCAGAAATTATGTAGTATCTCAAAGAGGGAGCAGAGGAGACATATAGAAACGTATGACAGACAACCGTCAAGTAGTACATTTTAATTTACAATTTTTACCAATAAAAATGATTAGTTACAAAAAGGGAATTTCTCTACACAAAATAAGGATTTTTCATTCATAAAGAGAATCCACTGTCACGTCTTGCCTTGCCAAATCAAATCTCAAATAGCTTGCTTAGCTAAAATTATTCCCAAGAGTAGGTAATCCAGACAAGATTAGTAAAATTACCAGCTTCCTAAACATGTATAAGAGGAAGAATTTCATGAACATTTTGCCTTGACCTGAAGAATTATGTAACAACCTGTAGAAAAACTTCTGCTCTCGGGCCGTCGAGTTGCTAAGAGGGCGTAGCAGACTCCAGCTCGCTGCCCACGAGAATCTTTGCAGTGAGCCTCCACCCCTGCACTGAGTGCACATGCAACATAACAGGAAAATGGCTTCTAAATTTTACAAGTGCATTTTATTGTGGCCACAGGTCAACAGCAGAACATAGGACAGTTAAGGTTCACATTCTCCCCACCTCCTATTTTACCACATAAATTAAATATGGAAAAGTACACACAAACAAAGTTGATTAAAGAGGAGGAGCTGTTTTCAATGCCCACTTTCTTGGATCACACACATCACGGTTCAAGAGCGGGGCGAAGAAGTCATCCTGTTAACGCACAATGGTTCCTGAAAAGACACTTGATCGAAATGTTCAAAGTCTTTTTAGATGACTAAAGTGTGGCAGCCGCTCAACACTGCTTCTAGCATCTGCTTTCGGAATAAACCTATCAAATCAGAAACTGTGCAGAACACCATGGCCTTCAAAAAACTTGATTCGGTGACAGGCCCAGGTCTGACGGAAAAGCCCACCTATGAGAAAGGAGTTGTGGGTATTTATGTTGGTCTGATGGACATTCGTGAATCAAAATGATACTCTCAATCACAATGATTCTGAAGCCATTACAACCCAAAATTATGTGATTCACTTAGATTTGCTTACGTTAGATCTTAAGAAATGATCTTCACACCAAGGAGCGACACCCTCCGCATAATAAACTGAAGTATGTGGCCATTAAAAGGGGGAGGGAGGTCAAAAAATGACAATTTAAATAGGGTCTAAAGTTCTCTGACCACTCTACTCAATAAACATATATCGAGAATGAGAATGAAATGGAATCAATGCCCAGGGCCTCTCAAAGACAGCACCTGCCTGTGGCAAGTGTGATTTGGGACTTCCTAGCACAATACAACCCAGCTACCCTGGGGACACACCCAGGGTCAGTATACCTTACATATGAGATGCAAAGGGTTATCCCAACGCAGTTTACACCTAGCCCCTGTGTAAGATGCAACTCCACTATGGCTGTGATCACTTAACTTAGGGAAAAAGTGCCTAGCAACACCTTCATGCCTTATTCATACTAATCTGCTGCCCTTGCTGGCCCAGCGGTGCTTTTTTATAAAAGCATCTGAAGAGGTGGTAAGTGGCTGTAACTGATACCAGGTCACAGTGATGGCAAAAGCTGGTAAAAAGCTCGTTGTCCGCTGTGCCAGTCTTCTCTGCTCTTGGTACAGTTCTGCCACCAAAGGGGAAGAAAGGTTTGAACAAGGTTTTGGTGACCAAGCCTTGGCAAAAGTCAATAAATAAAAAAGCTTGTCAAAGGCAGAACCTCACCTAGCTGCAAGTCTGGGGGTTGGAAAAGTAGAAGGGAGGCATGTGTGGAAGAAAGAGGTAAGAGTCCTTTTGACAAGCATTTGGTGGCCCAACCCCACACGCCCAGGTTGGTGACAGCTGACCAGGACCTAGCGAAACCCATTATTCAGACGGAAAAGGAAGAGAAGACACCAAAAAAAATAGTCATTTCTGAAATCTGCACAGTTGATATTTGTTCTTCATAGCAGTAAGGACTTGGATGAGAATCACGGAACTTGAGGAACACTTATATTTTCTTCAGGGTTTAGAAAATGGTGTCTTGTATGGAAAGACTACATTCAGTGTGGGTCAGGTCCACCAGTGTTTGCCAGACTTGGTTGCTGAGCACACCCAGCACTGGGAGGAAAACTTCATCTGAGCAGAGTGGCTGGTGGGCGGGCCAGAGGCCACTCCTTCACTGGTCCCCAAGTCGAAAGCCCTGTCCCCAGTTGTGTCTGCCGCCTCCACCATTCTGATCAGCAGCTCGCCTCATGCTAGCAGGGGGCACACCAAATCCTGACACTCCTCCTCTCCTGCTGGGCAGCCAGCGGTACCTGGAGCAGAGCGGGGAACAGAGGGAGAGAAGACAACAATATCACTTCCACAGGGCCGTCGGGCCACCTAGCCCCTTTCCTGGTGTCCCCCAGTCCGTCACACAGAATTGTATTGGTGTGTGGCCAATGGAAGGCTGGGGACAATGTCTTATTAACTTGCCCTTTCAGCACTTAGCTCAACACCCTGACCAGAGAAGGCACTCACTTTCAGGTTTCTTAAATTTACTAAGTTTTCAGCTAAATTCATACTCTAAAAAAATTTTTACTGATTATAAAAGTAATTTATGCCGAATAGTACAGAAACAACATTACTCCCATAAGCCCAACCACTAGAAAAAAACACCTATATATAGTATTTTGATGCACCTACGTATGAATCAAAGGGTATAAAAAAAGACAAGTGTGCAGCCTGTGTGTTCAGCTCCACACAGCGTCTGCACCATGCAAGCAACTGAGTCCCACAGCATCCACCGGGGGACTGGAGAAGGCGGTGTCGTGTCCTGGAGGTCTGGGTGTGTTTTTAAAGTTTATTCATCATCTGCCCTCCAGCTGCATTCATCTTATAGATGGTGGGAAAGGGAAGCCCAGACAGGTTAGCTGGTTTGCCACCTTACAGTTTCATTAAGAGTCACAGAACAGCTAAGAGAACTTAAATCCAAGTCCAGGTTCTCCGTTTTTCCAACAATTTCCCTTCCTTGACTGTTAGGAAACTTTGACTGTGTTTAAACTTACTCTACTCATTAGATCCTAATGTTTAAAATTTTGCTTGAAGGCAGAGACCGTGTACGACACCTGTTTAAACCCTGAGGGGTGACTTGCCTGCAGAGCACAACCTCGTCATAAAGCGTTCCCCTTACACCAGGCACTGCATGTTAGAGAATTCATCTCACCCTCACAACAACCCTAGGAGGCAAGCACTACTATGACCCCATTTCATAAGCAGGGAAACTGAGACAAGACTGAGTAAAGCTCTTCTAAACTGACAGTCAGGATTCAAATGCAGGTAGCCTGGCTTTGGGGCCTGTATCCTGCACCACTTACTATACTCCAGGCTTTGTGCTGCAAAGGGACACACACAGCATGGTTCGAGTGACAGCAGTTAGTGACTGCAGCCATCATTTGTTTACATCACCCCTGTGCCTTCATGCTCCCTCCCAAAAAGACAATGAGCCCCTTTTAAACAGAAAAATAACTGCATACAGCAGAGAAGAGGGTCTGCCTACTTTTCTAGATGGAATACAGAATGGTGCTGCATCTTAGAATCCTGTAACTCACATCTTCCCCTTTCAACCAACACAGCTCTAGCCTTAAATCAAAATGTATTTCCAAGCATTGTTTCTCAACATCCGTGACATCCTGGTATAATACTCCTCCAACGTGTATAATAAGAACACTTTAAAAGGCAATGGTAGGGCCGTGTTGCTTTGGTTCTTACTGTAAGAAAATATGGAAGCCATCTCCATTGCTTAAACAGATAGGGAAATTAAATGCAAGTAATTAGTATAAAAAGACACCCAATTATACATAATCAACAAAAAGTTATGGTAATTTCAAAGCAGTTACTGTTTTGCAAGTAGCTACATTTTGTCATCTGATCTTTATGCAAAATGTAACAGAAGGGCTTCCACCAACAGAGAGCTCAAATGGAAGGCAGGCTCCAGCATGCTGCTGATTTTGCCACTAGAATCTAGTGTACTTCACTGCCCATAATTGAGAAATATCTTCAAGCCGTTAAGTTAGAATATGGTCATTTAAAGTACAGTAACTGCTGGCTGCCCCCCAAAGCACCAAGCTTTTATTTTAATTGATGCATCTGCCATCTCACTTGATAGACCTAGATCAAAAATCCAAGCCTGCTGTTACTGTGTGTCCTCTGGTAATTAGAAAGCAGATTGGTCATTTGTTTCTTCAGCCTGGAGGCAACTCAAGACTCGAAGAGAAACAAGTTTCTTTTCATGTTGTTAAAGGAAAAACAAAAACAAAAACCATACAACACAACAGTGTACTTCTCTGTATGTATATTATATTTCACAATTAAATTCTTTCAAAACCTACTGCTAATCTATAAAAGGGAGTGACCTACTCAAGTTTTACTGCCCTCATTGGAAGAATGACAAACTGCAAAACATTAAACAAGCAAAACATGAAAAGGGTTGGTGTGGGTTTTTTTTAAAGATTTTAAATGCAAGCTATTACTACATATCCCCAGCTGGAGACTAGGCGTGACTGTCAGGCAGGCTGTGACACCCAGATGGTGATGTCACTGGTCCCTTCAACAGCCTTTTGCTTCACTGACAGAATGGTCATATTACTTACACGCTTGAGTGTGTCAGTATCTCTTCTGGCTCGTCAGCATCTCTCCCACCCTCGGCCCCAATGTCAGGAACAGGCTGAGCTTGTATTTACTGAGCTTTACTGTGCTTCCAACAGTCCTGTGAGCTGGGGCTCTCCCAAACTTATTGACTTGAAAACTGAAGCTTGGAGGTTTTACTAAGTTTTCCAGTATCATAACTGGTAAATGAAGGGAAGGGGGTTCCAACTCAGGTCTGTCTCAAAACCAAAGCTGTGCCCTCGGCCTCCTCACATGAGTAAACCCTAAAACAGAGGACTATACAAACCTCAAGTCTCTCATTTTAACTCTGAAAAATCACATAAATAGTCTAATCTATATATAATAGAAAAGTGTATTACATTGCTAACCAATGAACTAACTTATCTCCCTTACCCGTCCTCACCCAAACTCTTGGGGGAAATTGTTAACATGCTATCCTGGCCCCACTGCTGCACACACTGGAGCTGTCCTCAGGTGGGCTCCCTGTGATGCCTGAATCTAGTCTCAGGACCCTTGCGAGGCACTACGAAGAGGACTGAGCTGTGGCTTCCATTCCTGGCTTCCTAAGACTCTGTGACGAGGGCAACTTAACTGTTGGCTCACATTTCCATCAGACAGAGAGGTGAATCCTATTCCTCGTGGAGTTTTTATCAGGATACATAAGAACATGGGCAGCAAAATGACTGTTAAACAAGAGAGAGGAGAAAAACACTTACAAAAACTGGGGTGTGGAAAGAAAATTTCTTCCTCCTAAATCCATAGGGTATCTGAACATTAGGAAGAAGTAAAGATGTCCAACCAGATTTCCAATTAGCTCATTGATTACCCTGCAAACAGAGAGCCAAATTAGTGTGAAGACATTCAAGCAGTGAAGTGAGATGCAGTAAATTTTAACTAAAAGCACAGGGAGGAGAGCCTTCATGGCAGCCTACTGTGATCCCTGGGGCCTATGACAGCTCGACAATGACCCCCTCTGTAGTCTGAGTGGCAAATATATTCTGAGGGAGAAGGGAAACCAGGCCTGTTGGACCAATGGGCTCTATGTTCCTCAAGGCCAGCTGCCCCTCTGACATCTCTTTCAAGCCCCAGCCCACCCTCAAAATATTGTTTTTGCTACTTCCTGCCTTAAGAGTTGGAGAAGCTGCAAACATTTGAAATACTGACTGTATCTGTAAGACACAGCGATCAATGAAGGCCATCAAGAAGGAAGGACGGGAGCAAGGAGGGGAGAGATGCCTGCTCCCCATTGCTGGTGCCAGGGGGCACTCTCCCTCACCCCCGGCATCCTTGTGTAAGACATCACAGAGATCACTTCGGAAAGGTGACCTTCACCTTGTAATCCTAAAATTAGCACTGACCTTCTTCAGTTTTCCCAGGGCTTACACAGAGGCCACTGCAAGGTTTTATAGATCCGCTCTTACTATTGCATATCGTTCCCTGTCTTCACTGCAGCACGATTCTGGCAGGGACAGACCAACACGTGCAGCTGCTTCCAGTTCTGCCCTTCTGGGGGGCAGGGCGGCCTTACCCAGCTCAGAACTGGCTGCTCTCTAAAGAGAGCCTGCCTGCTTGCCCCATTCATTTCTCCCTATCAGTATGCAGAAGTCAGGACCACACAGAGCAAATATGTCGAACATACTAAGAACTAGCACTATGAGATGCTACTGAAACATTGAAAACATTCTGCAGTGTAAGAAATGGGGTTTCTCAGAATCGCTGCGTGTTGACATTCCCCTCCCAGAACGGACTCGATGCAGTCAAGGTTCTCCTAAGTCTTCAGTCTAATTCCAGACTAGGAATTTGACCCTGGTTGGTCAAAATTTCTGTGCCATCCAACCACTTACAAAACTACTTCCTATCCGAGAATATGCATTTCTGTGACTGGTGAGCAGTTTCCAAGAAATTAAGACTAAAGAACATAGTTATTGTAGGCACAGCTCTTAAAGGAGTCAGTTCAGACACAAATTAGATCTATGTTTGCTCATCTGGACAGTGAATCCAGAAATGAATATTTATTCAAAAACACACACATGGGAGCATACTGTCATAGAGAGCTAACAACAAGAAAACAATCGCTCAATGCTAAAATGTACTTAAAGCCCTGCAATTGAATCAATTATATCAAAATGAAATTATTCTGTAAGTATAAGGTCCCGATGCATCAATGTTGAGATTCTTAAAAGTTTCATAAAATTAGAAAAGGAAGATAAGAAAGAATGGAAGTGGTCCAGGATTAGTTTCCAATCCCATAAATCTAAGAGGGAACACTATTTGGCTTTCTGCCTGAATCAGTGCTTTCCAAACAGCGTTTCTTTCGAATTCAAATAAATGCCTGTTGCCTCTCAAAAAATAAATAAGTAAATCTAATGCCACTTACGAGCCTCCGATGATATAGTTGAATCCAAGGATAACCCAAGGTAAATAACAGGCCTAGGAAAGAATGGACACACCCGTGAGTAACCACACCTACAGGGGATACAGAGTGGGCAGGAACAGGGACGGGTGTGCTAACAAGGGCTTTATAAATCCTTTGAAGGTCACTCTCCAAACTTCCCAGTCAATCTAGCATCATTCCCATTGTACTTAAAACTTCCTATCTAAAATTATACTTATTCCTAGATTGGTAACTGGAAGACAGAGCGCTTTGCTGACAGTACCAAATGCAATACATATCCTGCTGAATTAAAATGAACAAATAACTCCAGAAAGTAGATGAGTGTCCTATGCTATTAAAAGCATGGTCCATAATAGAATCCCATTAAGACTCCACCCAGCATATTGTTACCAGTAAATTAAAAACATCCCATCTTTTTTGGTTCTCCTTTTACATATTTTCACAAAATTAGGTGAATTTCTGTCTCTTTATACACTGACATCTTGAACTAACACTCTCCCAAATGAGACAGCTGTCCGGATGAACTGAACATCTGAGCCCCTTACCAGATTCAAGATATCATACCAAGAGTTAAGGAACTTTACAAACCAGTAAAGAAAGGGTTACACCTAAGTAATGTGGTAAGTACTATAAGAGGAATACAAAACATTACAGAAGCCCAAAGGCACAGCTAACTCCAGGCAGGTGACTCAGGAAATAAGTCTGTTCAGTTAAGGACAGGTAAAATCTGCAGAAGGAAGATGGCCAAAGAATGTTTCAGGTGGAAACTGTGAGAGAAAACACAAAAGAAAGTGTGTGGGGGCAAAACAACAATTTTTGGTCAAAGTGCAAAATATGTAACAGGGAGTGATAAGAACAGATTTTAAAAGAGAGGGTTTCACATGAGTCTCTTTCCTCCCCTCTCCACCAAACACATACAGGAGCTCACTCAGGGACACATGCTGAGGGGACTGAGGTGCAGAGGGTGTGAGAAGTGACAGTCAGCAAAGGACTCTGGGTTGGCCGAGGAACAGGGGGCCTGAGAAGGCAAAGGCCTTGCCTAAGCTACACTGCTCTGCACTGACCTCTTCTGGGCGAGTCAGAAAGTACATCTCTGGGCTGAAGAGGGATTTCTGCAGACAAATGAGAAGGACATTTTCCCAAGGAGGTTACAGTACCTTAAATCGTGTTCCGAACCAAAACGACACAATCATGTCTCTGTTCAGCTGGGCCCAGACATAAAGCACCGACATTATCAGAGGAATCATCAGCAACTGCAAAAGAAATCAACATGTAAGGACCAGGCTCCAGAGGCCTGAACAGAGGCTTAGTATGAATCTTTTTTTTTTTTTAACTCTCCCCTCCAAACGAATCCTCACGAGGCCATTCAAAAAGCAAAAAGAAATTCAACTCATCAAAATTCTAAGCTGATCCTTCTAATAAATCATACAATGTATGCTACAAAATCCTATAAAATACAACACAGTTATATTATTTTAGATAGATTCAGAAATATCAGGGTCAAGCTCTGTTACTTGTAAAAAGTAGGCATAAAGCTTTATTTACTGTATATTACCAATTTTTAAAATGTATACCCACATACATGCATAGAAAATACTGGACAGCCATCATTCTCAGTGTTCAAACATGATAAAGGAGCCAGAAATGAGTAAGAAAAGTAATGGTTTAGCTAACTCATGTAAGATCTTCAAAATAAAAACAGCTATAATTCTATCATTTCAATATACCACATAATTAACCACATAGTTAATGCAATTTCAACTTCTGTCAAAGGCCTTTAATTGTATATCTGAAACATATAAAAGGGCAAGTGGATAGTTGCAACTCACCTGCATGTCCATTGCTAAGCCAGTAATCTTGGTTTGTAAAGTTAAAGATCGGGACAGAAACAAAGCATTCCGCGCCCAGTAAAAGTTCATTTCCTTCCAGTATTCTGAGGGAACACACTTTTCTAAACTTCAGGTGGCTTAAAACATCCAGAGCACAAAGGTGTCTAATACTGTCCATTCTGAATATTCTATCCAACTATACGATGGCAAGGAAAGGGTAGGAATTACCTGCTTCGGCATGACTCGGTTTGGTCACCTGTGTCCCCTCTCCCTTGCCTTACCTTCAGCATCTCTCCTTTAATTAGGAGATGAAGATGCCTGTGTCCTCTGAAACAAATAATGGTTCTACACATTCAGGGCTCCTCAGTGTGGCTGAAGTCCAAAATATTTTTTCTTCCCTTCAAGGAGGGAAAAGGGCATCCAAAGTGCCACATTTTCTGGCTGTTGGCCATGTGTCAATGGAAGCTAAGCCCCAAAGCAAGGACTTGAGCCACCAAGTCCCTTCTGCGTCTCTCGCCATCTGTGAAGGTCTGCAGCTGGAGGGCTGCTGACAACTGTGGTGGAAACACTGCAGAGACGCATGCTGTGTCCTTTCCCAGAGCTGGGTACTTATGGAGGGACTGCATTACTACTTAGGACCCCAAGACAAGGGCAGAAATGAAGTCAGAAAAGGATGCTGGTTGTAAATTAGTTTTCTGATCAGGACCACAGATTTCAAAAGCTGTCTCAGGGCCCGGAACCTCTTTGTGCTGCAGTCAACAAGCTGTCACACATGAGAACACAGAGAACTGGGAACAAGACGAGGGAACAGTAATAAAACACAACCAAATGTGGGAAAATCCACAGAGGCGATGGCAAGAGAATGTATCACTCAGGGGCTGTATGCTTTACTACAGTGTTTAAAAAGAATTTTAATGATTCTTAATTATTAACTGGAGTAAACAAAGATGCAAATACTGTCATTTGAAAAGTGTTGCACAGAACACTGTCTGTTTTCCCAAACCTGAAAAAAAACAAAACTGGTTTCTTTCTGGCCCAAAATAACAGACTGAAGGATACGACGATGCAAATCCAGTTAAAGAGGAGCATGAATAAATAGTCTGCTGGCCTCCCATCAAAAGCTCCTAGAAACAAAAATAAGCCAAATGTCATGGTTGAGAATTTCAGAACAAAATAAATCACTTCTATGTACAGAAATGCTTCAAAAATTAGAGGAAGCCAAAATGAGAATATTTTTAAATCACTCCTCTCCAATAAGAGTAAATTTTTAAAAATATCTAAACCCATGTCTCAATAAAGCCCTGAATTACAGTTACCTAGGAAGGCTAACCTGGGTTTTCCCAACTGAATTCCAGTCAGTACCATGCTCTGGTGACCTTGGGGTAAAAGAGATCCAAAGGGAGGCCTCGATTCCACAGCTACTGAGACACCATCACACCGGGTCGGACTTTCCTTCATGGCTCATCATGACCCCAAGACACATTTGTGATTACTTGGTTAATCCCTTCCCCCTGCATTAGACTGTAAGCTCTGTCAGGGGAGGAACCATATCTGTCCTGCCTACCACTGAGTCTACCACAGCCGAACTATGCTGGGAGGTACTTACTATTACTATTACACATACAAAACCACTTTTGTGGACTTTAAGTTCAGCACTGGGCTTACTGAGAAGATTCCGTCTCCAGCATCCAGGAGCTTTCACTCCAGCAAGAAAACAGTGTGGGGGACAGGGGATGGGACACAGCCAAACCTTTCCATAGCCTCTGACTCTCAACCTTCATGCACCTGTGAGATCAAATGGAAAGGCCTAGATCCCATTTGGAAAGATGAGGAAATAAAGTTACATGAGCAAAGTCACATGGCTTGTTAGAAGCAGAGTGTAGTCTAATTGCTGGTTTAGTGCTCTGTCACTGCACCATATCCCAGGCTCTGACTTTCCACCGGCAGAAAATCAACACGGCCCAGCTCTCCCTTCTCAGGAGAGTCCTTATGCCTTAGGCTAGAGGACTAGAAGAAAGGCAGAAAACAGAAACAAATGACTGTAAGGTCACTCTAGCTCAAGCGCTTACCTTCCCTCCCTCCAATTTAAAACAATCCTGACAAGTGTCAGAAAGGCAGAAAAAAAACCTATCAAAAAAAAAATAAATTTCATCTCTCCTCTTCTCCCTTATCTCTCCCCTGGTACCTCAAAGGCACACTTGAGCCACAGTGTTAAGGATACTTAATGGCAGATATCACTCTGATGAACCAGAGCTGAAATTCTAACAAATATTTCTGAATGTAATGGTAGCTTTGTTTCCTTTTTATGTGGTTTTGGCTTCGGAATTTCTAAGGATTCTTTAGATTGAAAACTTAAAATACTTTACTCACATAAACTACAGTACTTTATTCTTTGGCAAGCTTGCAACTGGGAATTTACAAATTAACTGGCCTCAAACTGCAGTCTTCGGTTTAAATCAAAAATACAAATAAGCCAACACTGCTATCTACTTAAGTCAGCCAGGCAGGAAAATACGCACTTGGCAAACATTTTGTCAAAATGCTACCTGAGGCTGTATGGTGACAGACGACAAGGCATCAGCACACCTGGGGTGCAGCACTAGCTGTGCTGTCTCCCACAGCTGTATGAACTTTGGGGCATGTCACCACCTCTCCAGACCATTGTTTTCTTTTCTGTAAAATCATATTTAAATGGAAAGATCTTAAAAGTTCCTCTCTACATGAATGTTCACAGCAGTATTATTCATAACAGCCAAAAACAATGAAGAGTCAAATGTCCATCAACTGATAAATGGAAAAACAAAATGTGGTGGTTCCATACAATGGAATCTTACTTGGCAATAAAAAGGAGTACTAATATATGCTACACGGAAGAACCTTGAAAACGTGATGGTAAGTGAAAGAAGGTAGTCACAGTTCCAAAGGCCATGTATTGTATGATGCCCTTTATAAGAAATTTCCAGAATTATACACTTTCAAATGGTTAAAAAGGTGAGTTTTTAAGTTATGTAAATTTTTCTCAATAAAAAGAAAAAAGATTCATTAACCTTTCTATTTTTATAAATGTTTGAAAACTATTTAATAAATTTTTTTTAAAACTGGTCATAGGTCATCTACATTTAATGTAGAATTTGCCACCAATATTAAAAAACCATTACTCCAACAACTTAATCCTAGGTTGAATTATATCAGAGGGATAGAATGCTAATCAGGTCCCACTGGGACAAGGGAAAATGAAAATCATCTATTCTGGTGGATTTCAGGATCAAACCCTTGACATGGTGTGAGAATCCTGTTGGAGTTTCACCTCTGTCAAGTTTACTTTACTTCCCTGAAGCTCCAGTTCTTCCTCTATAAAACTAAGACAATGGACTAGGTCCCTCCCAGTAGTAAGTCCAAGGCCTGACACTTAGTATTAACATAAAGATTTTTTTTCCTTTCTAAAAAGCACATAGTAGCAAATACCAATTTAAGGAAAGATTATATTTGACACATAAATGCCCATTCTTCTAGTTCCCTGCAGTTAAGAGCTTGATTCCCAAAGCTCAAACTGACAGATTTAAGGGTGGTTCAGAATTCTCAAAGCTGAGCTAACAGCTGACAGGTTTAGAAAGTCTGAAGTCAGCCAGCCTTTTCAAAATCATTATGTTCACATCTGACATAGCAGTAACAATTTACTGCTTCTCAGGATAAGCAATTCAGAACAGCATACAAGATACTGCAGGAAATAAATAACAATTAGTAAGAAACCTTGTACGAAAAGATTTTTATAAGAAACCTTATCCACAACATCATATAGGGAGTCATATCTGATAAACTATCATATTACTAAACCCTGGCTATGTATTTTAAAGTTGAATGTTTCAATTACAGAGACTAAGTCTAGGCTTTTAGTTGCATAAGGTAATGTTTTTCAACCTTAATCTAGGAGACATGTACACTTTAGCCCAATTGTGCACTAAAGAACAAGAACTTCTGTGTGACAGAAATGAGTGAGATGACAAGTTCAGTGAAAGGCAAACAGTGTGGCCACTAAGGACATGGGCAAGATTTGTAAACCCCTGATCTTGTTGGATTGTTTTTTCATCTATGAAATGGGGACATTGCTACCCATACCTCATGATGATGTTGTGAGGGCTAGAAATCGAGCACTTACTATCATTATGCCATTTCTTTATACATGCTGACTGCCCTCAAAATTCCTCCAAGTAAACATATGATTAGTAAGTTAAACAGAAACAATACTTAAAACAATTATGCATAACATACCTGTTTCAAGTCGTGTAGAATACTGATATAAGAAATATAAATTGACCAAATAAAGAAATCCGGTTCCTGGACCCACAGGGAAAAAAAAGGTGGCAGTGATTGGTCTCCAAATCTGTCCAGATTAAAATAAACACAGCTGTTAGTTTCGCTAAACCTCATTTTTTTTCTTTCTTTTAACTACATAAAATTAACCCTTGTAAAACATTCTTTTCAATGATGAGAGCTACTAAAGGGACAGCACCAATATCATTCAAGAAAACGACCGAACAAAATGTCAGCATGCAAATCAATGGAATAAAGTGAAATCATAAAATAAGCAATAAATATTTCTAAGCAAGTTGAAAAAAAAATCAGTACTGTAGAAGTATAGGGTTAGTCTTTACTGGGATCAAGCATACAGTTAAGCCTGTCAAAAATGGCTTACAAAGACAATTTCTAACAGTACAGTAATATCTCTATTTAGGAAAATACTGCTACTAGTCGGATCACAAACCTTGTCAAAAAACGTCATACTCAAAAGGTAGAAGTAAAATTTTTACCCAAATCACTGTGCTACTTAGGCAATATACACACTTCACTTTACAATATTAACCCCTCACCACCACCAAAAAAAATTACAGAAAGTTCTACAGTGAAAAGTAAGCCTCTCCTGATTCTCAGTCTTCCAGTTCCCTTCCAGCAACAACAGATCAGCTTCTTGTATTTCTTTCAAGAAATAACATTATGCGTTACTATTATGCATCCCTTTTCATCCTACCTTCTATCATACTGTTCTATACCTAGTTTCATTCCCTTAAAAAATATATTTATTGCCTTCACAGTATTCCTTTTATGTGGCTATCTAAACTTCATTTAAACTGCTACAACGCCACAATAAATATTCTTGACTATCCTCTTTATACATATACAATAAATTATAAATTTCTGTCAGTCATTCTGCTTTATTAGATATCTGCATTTAATTTTGGTAGATTTTGCCAAATGACTACAAAAATGTTTAACCAATTTATACTTCCTCCTAAAATGTAGATTAACACCTGCCTTCTCTCCACACCCTCACCAGTTAGTGTATTTTATATTCACCGACCATGTTTTCAAAACTTTAGCATTTCCTTTCTTCATTTTTCTGCTAGATTTGGATTTCTTTACATATTATGGAAATTTCCCTTTCTCACTGCTGCAAATATTTTCTGGACTGTCATTAGACTTATGCATTTATGGTATTTTTGCCATATTTTGACATGTAAAAGTTTAATTTAATGTAGGCAAATGTATCAGGCTTATAAGATACTTCTCCACTCCAAGAAGATAAAAATCCTCAGTTTTATTTTAGCACATTCATGCTTTACCTAAGCAGTGAGGAAGAGATCCAACTTGTTTTTCTAGATGATCATTCAGTTTTCCCAATTCTTTTTACAGAGTAACCCATCTTTTCTCCATTGACTTGAAAAGTACTTTTATCATATATTTATTCCTTTTTGTATTCAGGCCTACTTTCAGGCTATTCTGTTTGGAACTAAATTCCTATACCGATACCAAACTATTTTAATTTCTAGTTTTATCATATGTTTTCATACTTGGTAAAAATATATAATTAAATAATTCCCCTCCTGTTTTTCTCCCACACTTGTCACAATTTTCTTGGAGTCTCAATATTTTATTTTTCTAAATGAACTAGAACCAGTATCTTTATTATATCAATGTGATGTAATATGATACTGATATAATACCAGCCAGAAAGAAGTCTTTCATATCATTTACAGTTTTCCATAGAGCTGCTGCTTTCTACCTCTTTCTATCTCATCAAAGCTGAGTTATCTTATTGTTTGTAATATTTGAAAACTGCCCTGCTTGGGCTTTCCAAGGATAGAGCTCTGTCTGTAAATAAAACTGTGTGTCCTATTCCACTCTTGTCTAACTCACTGGCAAGTACCTCCAGAACACGTTAAATACAGTGGTGGAAGTAGGTGGCCTTCCCAGACTTTAGGAAATGCCAGCATAATGCTGGCTTTGGCTGGAGAGCTATGTCTTACTGCACAAGCACAAAAGGCATGGCTGGCTTTAGGAGTTCTCAACAGTGGGGGAAGCTGCTCAGAGAAGCAAGAGCAGACACGAGGGAGGGGAACTGTGGTCTTGGAAAAACCAGTACAAAGTCCCAAAGAATGACAAGAGCACAATCAATGAGCAGGTATGGCTAACAACTGGGGTGTAGTTGGAAGAAAGCACATCAGTGATGGGCCTGGCCAGACACAGAGCTGGCAAGCTATATTCTCCAAGTAGTAGGACCCACAGAGCTTAATTCCCTGTGAAGGAAAATGCAATTTACATAGCCAAAAAGTGATTTTGCAAGAAATGTATAATAAAGCAGTAAAACAAAATTGGTTAACAGTAGGATTATTCATGATTTTATCATAGAAACAATATAGTCTAATGGGAAGAAAACACTAGAAATGACTTGAGAAGATCTAGATTGAAGTCTTAATGTACAAGTTCTCATTTCTGAGCCTCAATCACCATCTGTAAAAAGGGGTGATACACTAATACTTGCTGTACTTTGGCTAATGACTTCTAAAAAAAGTAGTGTGCTATTCTGTTCCCTTACATGCACTGACTCGGGAGGTGGATTGTATAGATTAAGTAACAGCTAGTAAGTGGTAGAGCCAGAATTTTGTCTCAGCCTGACTCCAGAGTTTATGATACTAAACCCCAATTTTTACAATGCCTCTCACAAGTGACATCACCATTATGAGGTATATTACAATTAGCAAACATTTTCAGTACTCCTATACTTACATAATCCTGATCCTTCCTATGAAAAACACTGGGAGTAGAGACCAGAAGCAAGCAAGCCCTGGCCTTGGTTCTTAGGTAGCCATGGGGCCTTGGACTTCGGAGTTTGTGTCTTCAACTACCCAATGCCACCTGTGTTATGACTCCCACCTTCCTTGTCTCATAGATTTCGTACAAGGTTGGAATTAGGAAAGTGTATTAAGAAGATGCTTTGTTGCCCAGCCAGTGTAGCTCAGTGGTTGAGCATCAACCTATGAACCTGGAGGTCACAGTTCAATTCCCCATCAGGGCATGTACCATAGTTGCAGGTTCGATCCCAAGTAGGGGGCATGCAGGGGATAGACGATGGATGATTCTCTCTCATTGATGTTTCTGTCTCTCCCTCTCCCTTCCTCTCTGAAATCAATTAAAAAAAAGAAAAAAGATGGTCTGTAAAAAAAATGTTTATGTGTGGGTGGGTGTATGACTATTACAATCTTTTAGGAGATGCACATTAATCGGGTTTTTACAAATACCCATTTTAAGCTACCCCCATATTCCTGGAAGTTACTAAAGGCCTGATTTTAGAAAAGGAACTTTTTTTTTCCTGACTACATTTCTCACTAACACTGACAACATGACACTATTTTTAGCCACTGTGTGCACCTGTTCTTTGGAAATCAGCATCTGTCAAAATATTTCACTTTTGTTCCTCGTTCATTAGGCTTACCCTTGAGTTATACTTGCTTTCATTGATCTAGGAGTCTTATTATTTTTGTATTACTTTAAAATTATAATTTGAAAATACCAGGAGGTTATTTGTCTCTTCAGAAGGACACAATGTAATAAAGTATTACTGAAATCCCCATGGAAAGTGCCCAACTAAACCCCTTCCTTTCCTCTAATTGATATGTAAGCAGTTATGATAAGGAAAAGGCCTTATTTTCAGGGCTGGGGGTGACAGAGGCATGTCTTCAACCCTGACAGCCTCCATGGATCCCTTTAGAGGTAGCCGGGGCAGCACGAGGAGCCCAGGACTGGTAGGCAGAGGTCTGCGTGGCTCGTGTGACAGAAGCTTCAGAGGGGGGCACCTGGTTTTAACCCCACAGCAATCCTACGGCCAGACCATAATCACCCCAGCTTTTTCATGAGGAAAGCTAGTCCCTCATTAGAGTCTAGGTCATCGCCCAGAGTTCCTCACCTAACAAGGGCAGGAAGCCCACATGTTCACTGGCATATAAGACTTTTAAAAACACATAAGACAGTGTTCTTTTTTTTTTTTTTTTTTT